CGAGGTTAATAAACGCGTGTCACAGCCAACAATGGTTGCGAGGAAATATATCATTAGTGTGTTTGAGTCCGTAGCGTTAATCGCGGAACGTTCTGGATTCGAATCCCTGAGAAACGACAAATTATTTCTCAGCTAATTGTGGCTGAGATTCTGTTTAGATAGGTAATGTAAACATAACAGATATTGAAAAAAACACTTAACGGTTTAAAACGCGGAATGTATTAGTTAACTTATTCACAATATATTTTAACTGCGGCCCAACGTTTTGGGACGTATTGCTGCAGTCGTGGACACACTGTGGACTGTTAATACAATTCGCGTTTTAAATCGTTTCAAATGTATTATTTAAATTAAAGCGCCCCATTTCATTCTTATAACTCTATCGAATATGTGTATCAATGTGTGGACAATAATATAAGAAATCGGCGTTCTCGTAGCTGTGTTTTTTTCAATTCATAATAAGCTCGTCAGCCTCTCATAATGGGCTGACTAAGGTTGACCAAGTCGCACGCGACTTGCGGTTTCTACGTGCACGCTATTTGTCTACTTTTCTAGTAATTTTAGCAAAACCACATCATTATAAAATATTTATCCCACATTGATGTTGCTCCAAAGAGCCAGAAACCTCTACTTCGTTTGTGAGAAAGTGGCTTAAATTACAGTGTAATTATTAGGATTCCAATGTTAACTTTAGATAACTTTTTTGAAAAGGGGGGGGGGGGGGGGGGGGGTCTTGGGGGGGGGGGGGTGTAGCGGGAGAGAAAAACCAAAGAAAATTACTTTTGGAACCTTTGTACTTTCTCTAAAAACCTAACAAGTCCGTGGCATTTGTTACTGTAACCTTTTCAGTAATTTCAATTAAACTAGTCCACGTGACAAGCAAATATAAGCTCTACAATTGGTGCAAACTCTCCAAGAATAATGATTACTCACAGACCAAAACTAGTTTAATAAATTCTCGAGTATTGTCTGTAGCTTACGCGAATGGTACATTTCATAAGATCCTTTAAACGGTTTAAAACTCGATAAAATATGTAAGTTGACTTATTTCAACAATAAATTTAACTGCTACCCCTTTTTTACTTTAACTTTAAACGTTTTGAATGCATTTCAGTTAAATCGGTCCCCCCCCGACCACGGATGATATGTAGTATTTTTTCATTTTACTTGCGCCGTAAAAATCCTAATTGATCAGTCCCGTAATGGCGCATGCGCCCAATCTTTGATACTTTCATCAGTTTCTACTCAATTCCTATTGCTTTATCGTTTGGATTGCGCAAATGTAACCGTTATTTATGTATCAATTTAGAGGAAAAATTTAATTAAACGTAAAGTCGTTCAATTTATTATCTCCCTTCGAGCCGTGTAATCTAACCTCGGATAACGAGCGTTTGGAACAAACGACGGTGTTTATCGACGTCTCCCACTAATCAATTAGATCGTGGCATAATCGGAGCAGATTGATTTAATGGCGGGAAATGAGCAACTTTTCAACGTCGCACTCAGTGTTCAGGAAGCGAGTTCACTCTCGCCACTAACTGGTAACATGATTGTCTCACTCTCGTTATCCCCTTTTTACGTGAAGCCTTTATATGAGAACTTTGTTTCAAGTTTTAAAAAGTTTAATCAACACCTAATAACATACATGGAACAACAAATGAACTCTGTTGCGGAACAACAGATTTGTTGCGGCGCCGATTTTGAGTGATGCCCAATGGATGACACTTCGAAAGACAGAAATAATTAGAAAGCTAATAAGGAGGCAATACAAGTATACACGCAAATAACAACTGCTACAACTCTATAACAAAAATTAAAAAGAAATAAAGACATTAAACCTATTAAAAAAAATAAAAACTTTAGACTTAGTTTGTTTTTGGAATAATCGGATCGATATTTACGGTTACGGTTTTTAAATAACTTTGCTTCGGCTCCAGTTTTCTACTTAATACTTAACAATTTAACTGTATATTTAAACAAAATACTTAAACGGTTTAAAACGCGATAAATTAGTTAAACTTATTTAAACCTTAATATTTTTTATTAACTTTGGTTTAAATAGTTAAAGTGTTTTATTTAAATGTGTACTACTCGCGTAAAGTATAGACAGTATTTAACTGTATTTCAATTTATTTCACCAGTCGCAACGCAAAATCACCCAGCTTTAAGCTGGGCGATTTCGTTGCTTAGACTAATAAAATAATTTAACGTTATAAACTATGCAAATTAATTTCAATGAAGCGACATTTTCTGTTTTACGCCTAACTAGCGTCCATAAACGAATGCTGACTCCTGCCATAAAATTCTGAGTGCTGTGTGAATTAAACAAGTCAGAAACCCTACAAAACACGAGTTCAAGTAACATCGTAATACAAGTTTAATGTCATCCAGCGCACGTGATCAAGCGAGTTTGTCTTTTATCTTTCTCGACATAAAGTGCAGAACTGTTTGAATTGTTTCAGTTTTAATGCGATTGTCGAGTCGCTACTTAGTACTTGTATATTACGGGCTTAACTTTTAAAATATCACGTTTCTCGATAAAGTTCGCGTTAAGCGTGACACATGAGAGGGCTCCAACGGAGAAGCTGCCTTATTATTGTGCTTATCGTCAGATCGCATGTGCAATATTGTGTTTAAACTTGTCCAACGATAACGATAACTACTAAAAAAGTTGTAGGGTCCTGGTCTAAAACAAAAGATTTCAAGGATATTTCTGCTTGTCAGAATACAAACGTCCGATCAACCTTTTTTGGTGTAAATATCCATCCATAGTCCAAATGTAACTGCTCTGAATGCCTCCCCTTCCCCTCCCCTCCATGTAGGGATATACGGATTTTACATAGATAAACATATGAAAAACGCCAAATTTTATTATTAAATTATGAGCCATTCATTCCTTGTAATTACCATTAATTCCATTTTCTTTACAAAAGTTTCTTTCTAAGTTTAATTTAGATAAAAAATGAAAGGTTCAATTTATAAAACAGAAACTCTTATAAAACTATATATTTGAATGTCACGCTTTAGTTTAAATGAATGTTTTGTATGGCGTGATGTTAATTGTTGTTTTAATTATATTACTTCGAGTCTATTTTAAGAAATTACTTACTTAATTAAAAGTGATTTAGCAAATTACACATACATACATAGTATTGTTACCGCTGCATTAAAATAATCAAAGGTCGGGGTTGATATACATTCCTTTTCATGAATAAAACGATTTAATACACGAAACTTTTACGTACGGCTACTATTTAATTTTTATGCTGGGGTTAGCCACCTTACGAGTCTCCAGAGCACGAGGAGGCCTGACCTTGCTCTTTTATTTTAATGGTACGCTCGTGCAGTTGATAGATGTAAGAGATTACGAATCAACGCTTGCATATTTTTCTTAGAAGGCTTTTTGTCCGTCTTGTAATTTCTATGTAGACGAAATAATAGTCCACCACTCTTATTTCCTAGTGTTCAGTAATTGTAAAAACATCCGTTTAAATAAAAATAGGATATTTAAAATACAACATATTAATAAAGATAACATATTTATAAGGTAAAATTAATATTAAATTACAGAAGGTAACTTCTATTTAACTAAATCAAAATACGTCTTACTGCAACTTATGCAAAGTATTTTTGTTTTTAAATAAAACACTAAAACGGGAAGACGTCTCCACGTGACCACGGCTGCTGCAAAGCATCCGAAATGTTGAGCCGTAATTAAAAATATATATAATATTAAATTTCGCGTTTTAAACCGTTAAAGTGTTTTATTGAAATGCGTACTACTCGCGTAAAGTACAGACAGTTGTTTTTAGTTTAATTTTTAAAGTGTTGTTCTTTTGTTAAAAAAATATTTCATTTACTTTGACATTCATAAATCGACAACCGAACCGAAAGGAGAACCCGTTGTTTGTGTTCGGCGGAATTTCGATATTCCTACCACCCATTTCCCAACGGGAGTCGCACCCACGACCCATTGGTAATTATTCTACATTTCTACCATTCAACCGACGAGCTAGTCAATCCTCTTACTCCTACTTGTAATTCTACCTGTTAGTTTAGTTTTAGCTACGAAAACGACACCCGGTTCTCAGTGATTATTTAATAAGTATTACGCACATATTTTGCAGACCTTACATAAACAGTGATAACCATTTCTAACATACAACCAAGCATCACCATTAATTGTCCGCTTTATTGATCTCTTATCATACTTATCTGGGCTTACCACTGTAAATATATTACATCGATGAAGCTGTTAGCAAATTACGTACCTGCTTCCAGAGGTTGGCTATATATCACTCGGTTTACGGCATTTTAGACTTTATCGACTTAAACATCTATCTAAGCTCCGGCTTTTTTGCATGAATGTAAAGCTAGGTGACTTCAGGCGAATGGCTTGACCCAACGCGTTAATATCGGCTCCCGTCGGTGGAAATGATTAATGTGAACAAGAATAGACCGAGTAATTGGTACTAACAGCAAAATGGAATTTATAATCTATAGAATTGATTATTAGCGAGGTCCAGTAGGTATATCTGAGGTATAACTTCTTCTAATTAAATGTCATAAGATTTTTTTTTAATGATAGAGTAGGACTTGGGGGACTTCACTTGATGGTAGGTGAACACCAGCCTATCAGCATCTAAACAAAATGCGGTGTCGACCCATTTTAGCTTTGGATATTCGGAAATGCAATCGCATTTCGGTTTCAGGCTGTGAACGTTTCAGTATGTCACGGCTTTTTCATCTGTGGACTGTGGTTGGATATTTCTATCACCCATTTATAATCCGGATTTCCAAACGAAGTCCAATCTGTTTCAGAAAAAATATAAAATGGCCCCAATGGAGATCAAACCCACGACCTTTTGTTACCATTGCAGCAGCGAGCCCGTCAATTTTATAGTGACGAAAACAAAAAAGGCAATAAATAAAACAGGAGTTTGTAAGTGATCCTTACAACGGGAGAGGGTAATTGAAGCCCTTCAAGGACGGAAGGGAGCATGGGCGAAATCTGTCATGAGGTGCTCATGTTAATCTTAGTAATGTGATATAGTGACAATTGTGGGGCTTCGCTCTTGCTTAAATTCGGTAAAACTTGTAATTTCCTTCTTGAAAAAATATTCCCCTAAATATACATAACCGTACAATAGGTCACAAAAATATATATCTAATATATAAAATTCTCCTGTCGCAGTGTTAGTTACCGTACTCCTCCGAAACGCCTTTACTGATTTTCACCAAATTTCATATGTGTATTCAGTAGGTCTGAGAATAGGACAACATCTATTTTTCATCCCCCTAAGGTGATAAGGGTTGTTCACCCTTAATTTTTTTAATGTTGCATTTATTACTAAATACAACCCTTTTCAATTTTTTATCATCACGAACCCCTATTTTTTATAGCCATTTTAGTAAAATTATTTATATGGCAAAACAACGTTTGCCGGGTCAGCTAGTAATAATATAAATAATAGCTTTAATTACACGTTATACCGAAGATTTTTTATTGTTTTTTATATTGGTTGGTATTAAATTTGTACAATTTAATTAAAAAATGAAATATTCGTAAACATTTTGAAAATAGACCGGTCATGTATCAATGCAATTTTTATTTGTATACAATGTAAAAATGAGGTTTATATGTACCATAGTAAGGTAACGTAAAATTTCTTTTTAAAAAAACAACGGAAAAAGTTTTTCTTATTTTAAAAAATTTTTCGTCAACAATATTCTATAACAATATCTCTATCGTCTTTATGCTTATCGTTAATTGTTGAAATACTATATGATAATTAATTTTATACTTGTGTAATAATATTAAACATTGGTACTAATGTCAAAACCTATTATCGTTATATGTACCTCAATTAAGACTAGATTAACGAATAATTATTTCTTTTAGTTAAACCGTATTCCCAAGTTACTTTATCTTGAAGTAATGTTTCCGTTGAACTTACCAACGATGTCGAAGTCGTAATAATTTTCCTCGCCCCATTTATACGTCTTCTCTAGTTAGTTGAAAATTGTTTATAAGACATTTATTTATCATAATCTAAGTGTATAATAAAATGGGTGTCTGTAATCTACTGCCTCTGGCCGGATCGGAATAGGAATTTGCTTGTACTACTTATTTAATCGTCTACTTGGGCTAACATGAGGGATAAGGGGGGTTAACTAATTATTTTTTATGCCTGGCGAGGGGACGGATATATTTTAGACAAGAGGCTCGTTGGTAATGGTAGCAATGTACGGCTAATAATAATCAATGAGTAAATTCGATCCTTATCGAGTCCAACATTCTTCTAATCATTTAAATAAAACACTTTAACGGTTTAAAACGCGATATATTAGTTAAACTGTAACGGCAGCAGCCGTGGTAATGGAGAGACGGCTGCTGCAAAGCATCCGAAACGTCGGGCCGAAGTTAAAAATCATTTTCAAATAAGTTTAATTAATATATCGCGTTTTAAACCGTTAAAGTGTTTTATTTAAATGTGTACTACTGAACTGTAGACTTAAGTATTCTTCTAATCAGTTGGACTTAAACACCGTCCACAGTTCATAAAGCCGTGATTGTAATAATGTTTCGCTTTCGTTCTGTGATTTTCCAAATTTTCAAAGCCGACAAGGTCGACGCGCACCTTGTTTAGATGCTGTAAACTGGGCTATTTCACCTACCATCTAGTGAAACCCGTGCTTTTCTCTCTTCCTTTATCATTTAAAATATTTATTTTTTATAATTTTACTGCTATATAATAAGTAAAGCCATGATCTTCCTAGCATAAACATTTTATTACATTTTTTGGTTCTTTTGGTTTTTGGAACTCCTCATTACCATTAAGTTTATTATCACCTTTTACTAATATTGCTTATATTAAAAGTGAATTTTCATTATATCTTAGCCTTATAGCGTCTAGTTCAACCGAGTGCCATTGGCGAGGCCATTAGGAATGAGTTTGATCAGTTTTTATTGCTTCTCGGTCCTCGTTAGACTCAACTGCTTATTGCCACCTGCTGTGAAGCACTTCTCATTATATGATTGATGTTTCTTGATTGATTCGAATTAATAAATGTGCTCGTTAATGTTCTGTTTCATTTATTAGGGTTTGATCAGATTAGAGCTAGACGCTAGAGCTCTTCGTGACGTTCATACAAAGGTTTTTTTAACGTTTGAATTAAATTACGGGTAAATAGTGTTTGTAGTTTACGCGTAGTATACATTTAAATAAAACACTTAAACGGTTCAAAACGCGACATATATTGGTTAAACTTAAAGCGAAACAGGCCGGATCCTTGCAGAATTTTACAATTGTAGTTTCGTCAAATAGCAACTTCGACAGGACAGATGGCGCTAGCATAGCAGGCTTTACTTTGACGTCAGAGACACCCTCCACCTTTAGTCTCCGCGAGACCACGGTTCTTGCAAAGCATCCTAAACGTCGGGCCGTAGTAAAAGAAAATGAAATAAGGTTACCTAATATATAACGCTTTTGTAAACCTTTAAAGTGTTTTGTTTAATTACAAGTATTTTAATAAACAAAAGGTATAATTTGAGTATCTACCATAATTCGTTGTGATCGATGGTTACGCTGAAAAAATAGACAATCATAGTCTCTTTCTGGTAAGCCATTTACGTATTTATTTTTTGTTTCAGCCTAAAGCAATAGCACAAGCCCCGCCGGTGGCCCTGCCGCCACCAACATCTGCAGCCGCGCCAATCTCCTCACACTGCTCCGCTCCTCGCACCATCGTCATCCAACGACCCGACGCCAGACACGGCTTCGGCTTTACGCTTAGACATCTCGTTGTTTACCCACCGGATTCATTACAGGTACTGTAATATATCCATTGTTGTTGTTTTCTGGTGAGACACAAATATCTAATCTTATATATTTAATAAGAACAAGGGATGTTTGTGAAGAAATGTATTTTCGTGCTTGTCAACGAGTAGTCTTGTTCAGAACAATACTAGACACGAATTATTAGTAAACAGTGTAAAGCTCTCATCGTTCAGGATAACATTATTTTTCGGTCTGTTTACCCGACGTGAGCGAGAAGCGCGTTCTCGACGTATATGTTAGCTCCTCGATTGCTCGAAGAATAAATAATTATTAAGAAACTTCGAGAACAACATCGGTCGAACAGCCTGAAAAACAATAATATGACGAATTTTTAGATTATGATATTTGTATAATAGTGTTTTTAAAACAGACAATACATTTGATGTCTTTTCTAATATTCATAAATTTAAAAAATGGCCAAATTTTAAAAATTGTAAATTTAATTTTTCTTCAAATTCTCATTTATAGCACGCATTTAATTTTAATCCGTCTTCATATAAATTATATTAAGTTGGTATTTATATTGAGCTTGTATTATATATTTAGTTGGTAAGACACTGTCAAAATAAATAAATAAATAAATGAATACCCTGTCCCGCTGAAAGTCCGTAGCAGTCCCTGTATCGAACTTGTTTCGTATCCAAAAGTAATTTGTATGCATCCAATTCTTGTTTATTTTGTGTTAATTCATTTTGCACATCAATATGAAGAGACGTCTATTTTGAATATTCCATCAGGCCATCCAACAACGATTCGTCATATACAAGCAAGATCTAATTGCTCGCTCGCTGTTTCAGGAGTTATACGAGGATGCGAGACACCTGGCCGTGGGCGCGGTGGGCGCGCCGATGGACACGATCTTCGTGAGGTCGGTGCGGCCGGGAGGACCGGCGGCACTTGCTGGTCTTAGGGCCGGCGACCGCGTCCTAGCAGTAAACGGCGAGCCGGTCGCGTGCGGCCGGTCACGGGCGCCGTACGCGAGAGTGGTGCAGCTCGCCCAGCGGGAGCCCAGGATTCTCAGACTTACCGTCGTGCCGAGGGACCACGACCTCTTGCAGAGGGTAGGTGGCAATTCTTTGTTCTTTTCTAAATTTAAACGAGGAGTGGACGCTTCTTGGTTTTTAATATTTTTATCTGATTGTTAGATTCACCTTTAAACTAAGGAACTATAATCTGTATTATTAATAATAAAACATGTTAAGTGTAGAAATGTTTCTATAACCATAAAATTGCTATTTCTTAGCGATTTCATTGCACGAGTCTTCCTTAAATTAAATGTGTTAGATTAAAACTCGGCAGCACAATTGGTTAGTGCAACAGCACGGTACGCTGACGATGCCGGTTCATGTCTTACTCGAGTCGAAATTTTTTTGATTTATTTCCGATTTTTATTATTACATTATATACTTCACTACATAATTTATGCCATATTGTATTAATAAGTACATGTCCGTCGCCCATTGTTTAAATAGCACAATTTTAATTATGATGTCATATTATTTATAAGTTCTAAATACAGTATTTCAGCGAAGCGGCATACAACCCTGAAACGAATCAGAGACCGATAGAAATGCCGGCACCTATAACCGAGCACGAATCGCGGCTCTTCGACGCGTATCGACGGCCGCGAGCTAGTTTGCCCGCGCTACCGGGGCCGCAAGCGCCGACGAGACATCGGGAAGACCCGGAGTACGCCACTGTTGCACCGCAACCTGCTAGGTTCGACGCTAGACTGAGTAACGCGTCCCATTATATCATACACGATGGGTAAGCAGCACTAATTTGTAACAGTACTGACATTCAACTAGTTGTTTTGTATGAAAAATCCCATTACCCGTGTGGGGCAAGGGGCAAACATTACCTTGCGTCCATTTCACTTATCGATTTCTACAGGCAACTAGATCGTTTCCCCAAAAATCGAAGAAGTTCAAAAAGTATTTATAAAAGTTTGAAACTCTTTAAGGTAATTTAAAAGCTTGTATTTATAAAGAAAAAAGTAAAATAAGTCCTTCTAAAATATACATTTTTTATTTATATTATCTTTGGTTGAGCATTATTATTAATTAGTGATATACAGGCTCTCGAAAGCAGGGGATTTTAAACCTCAACTCTCTAGTGTTAAAATATATTTTATTTAAATGGAAAACACTTTTTCAGTATATTTATTTTTCTTAAACCAAAACCACTATTTTCATCTTCTTTTCATTTAGTTTGCACTTATAATTACAAATAAATGTGTCTGTTTGTAAAATACTATACCAGTCCTTTCTCACACAGCCTCATTCTTTATTCTAGCAGGCGGGAGTCCGATATCTCTCTTCCCTCATCGGCTACAGAGAGCAAAGACAGTCTCGGATCCTTCGACTCGAACTCCACACTGACGGGCCGAGAGCTGGACGACTCGATCATCCTCTCCCGAATACGAAAGAGCCTGGAACAGAAGGAGGCTTTCCTCAGACGTCCCAGTCAACCCACAGGATGGGTAACCCCGGACGCTCCACCGCCGATCAAACAAAAGGAGTTCTACGCTCGACCGCAAAAGTTGCAGAAGCCGGCGTGGCCTCCTCCTTCCTCCCCGCCGCTTGCCTCTTCCCCACCGCCGCATCAGCCGGAACAGAGAAAGGAGGAATGCGCCACAAGTGTAGATAGCGGGACGTACAGCGGTTATGGAGAAGTGAATGGTAATGACAAGAAACCTAAACAGGATAAGAGTCAGTTTGTAGCGACGCTGTCGAAGATTCAAGAAACGACGGGCATTCAAAGCCCTAACGTGGGAACTATGAACGGCAGCTGCAATGAGAACAGAGAAGATGGCACGAGTAACCAGGATAATAGGTTAGCAAAGTTCCTCATAAAATAAAAAACAAATAGGTTTGGATGTTCCACTGCCCATTATATTAGCCAATGTATTGTGAAGCTAAATGTTAATCCAAGCCTAGGCTTTATTTTTATTAATTTGAGTAGTAGCAAAAATAGGTCAACAGCGCATCCTCTACAGGACATGGAGCATATCTTCTTCCTTCAATTTTATCTGCTGTCTTGGTCATAAAAAGTAATACTTACTTATGAAATTTAAACTTACAGATATCCAGTACCTGAATTACAGTTAGTAACGGCTAGAACGCGGCAGCTCGAAGAAGCTCGCGGTGTTGGTGAGAAACGTACAGAAGTAGCCAGGAGCGAACTAGCACGGCTTTCGACCACACGGCTGGAGCCCAGCGTGGCCTTGCGAAGGAAAGAGTTTGAAACTAGAGCAAATAGGCGAGAAGCGAGGTCGCTTGATGTGCAACCACAACAAGGTATATAGAAAAAAGTTCTCTAACTCTTATTAAACCTTCTTTCGATATAATACTGAATTAAAATGTACTCAAATGAGTGACTGAATAGAATAACATTGTAAAGAGCTTAGCTTAAAATAAACCACTTAAGAAAACACCGTTATTTGCTGCAGCTATCGTTTAATGAAAATATTAACAAAAATATTTTTAAAAAAAAATTATAACCTATTATAAGCTTATCGCTATGTATGTGCTATTTTGCAAGAGTTCTTTCAAAAAAATGAAAATAATACCTTTAGTCAATGTTCCATATAAAGAAAGCATGAGTATATGTAGTTGTGAAGGGTATACCATTTTAAATTGAATGTCTCTTTTACAGAACTGGATCACGAACATACGGCTCTAGGCGGCAGTTTATCAGGCAACCAATTAATGATTACCGGCAGCAAACACCTACATTGTCCACCTCCCGATGGATATGTGCCCGGTAAGTAAATGACTCCTTAAAATATTCACTAGCTAATCCTTCCAAATTACCACAAAATCTAGAATATTGTTTTCATATACATAAAATCTTTTCCAATATTGGAAAACTTTATTCGCTTCCAAAACTTTACTACATATTGCTTATTGATTGTACTTAATTGTACTAAGATGTTCCCAAATAATACAAAGCAATGTTTTTTTTTTCAGAAATGGAAAAGGTTCAAATGAGGACAAGGTCCAATAGTACCGGAAGCGAAGGATTACCCATTAGAAGACATCATGCCACAGGTACACTATATCATTTTTAATGCTTTTACCGAAAAATCCATGTTGGTAAACTACGACGAAAATTTAATGTGGATTGAATCTTTACAAAATGGTATGCCTCAATTTGCAAGCTTTACAAGCGGCGGGTAAAGGGTTGTGGCAAGGTTAATTTATTTTTATGACAATAATTACGAATGAAAGCAGCGCCACCTGCCGATAAGCTTCTCCGTAATGTTTGCAACCAGTGAAATAAATAAAAGGAGGCGGTATATGTATCTATGGAGGATTAGGTTGACGTTCATTAAATGTTAGCGTTGTTTGATGTCTAACAGATGTAGCATACATTAATCTTACAAAATATACAAACACGTACAATATATCCCCCGTCATCGCCAAAAAGGACGTTTAATATGTGACATAAAGAGAATCAAGATAAGGCAATTCCTTCTGCAATTTTGGCCGCCACTGAAGGACCGCACCTAATGGTATAATTCGCCCCAAGATGGCAGTCACGCGAAGCGACGTATGGGGCTGAACAGAGAACAAATGGAGGCGATGAATCTCGTGTCGCTAGCGGGGCGGGACGGGCAGTGGCCCCAGAGGCCCACACAGCTCAGCCTGGCGCCTTCGCCCCCCGCCTCTGCGGCCACCTCGCCTTCACCCACGCCAAGCACGCCTGCCGACTCAGGTCCCGAACACGACACTTCTCTATTCTCAATCCCCTCTGCAGAAGGACGTAACAGCTTGTCAGTTCTGCATCGCTAACGTACCTCATTATTCGTTGGCTCCGCTTAACAACTACAATTTGCATGTACCTCCATTTGAATGTACCAGAAGTCTCGTACCTAACATTCAGCCGGATACTAACAGAATGCGATGTGTGTGCTTTTCGGTGTGCTACTAATGCAGACTAATGTCTTTTGACGTTAAATAATATCAATATTGCGTTACTATGTTTTATACTGTGTAATTGTATTGTTTTGTTAAAATAATGTTTACTGCACAGGTTTTGCCGATGATCTTGTTACCAGACGACAAAAGAAGGATGCACAAATGGGAGGTGCGTTTGATAATCTATACCAATTCAGAATTGTCTATACATTTCCTTAGTTACATTTTAAAATTGTACTTTAATAATTCAACGCTTATAAATAAATGGTGGCTTATAACTATACTACTGTCTAAGTATATTAAATCATTGCTTTGCAGAAGAAGAACGCGCTATGAGAAGAGTTTCATACCTAAAGGCAACATGGGGTGATCGGTTACATATAGACGGTGATGTTGAACCAGAAATTGATCATCACGCATTGAGAAGGTACTTTCATGCTTATTATTCGACAGCTGATCTTTTATATTATCGTTACAATTATTAATACTATCAGTTTCCATCTCGTAGTTCTATAGTAAATAATTTTCAGAAAACTTTATTTTATGTTAACAAGTAGAAGTAGAACTGCACTCTCTACCGAACAGTACGACGTATGTAGATAGACATTTAATGTGTAGATGTTAATAAAATATTACATTTGTGTGTTGTCTTTAAATTAGTTATGGGGCAACGTTATGTTGGGTTTTGTATCATTTGTAAAAATGCAGTGTTTACCGCAAGTGGCGACCCCCTCGATTCGCGGACGACATAACACCATTGCTGCGAATATTCGACCCGTACGCGTCCGTTCCGTTTCGGTACGTCGCATGCGGTCGCGGTAAACAAAGACCGATAGATGACGCTTATGTGTGCTTAGATATTTGTACGAGAGATGGCGTTGTTATACATATTAAGAGAAACGAATTTGACTAACAGTTTTGGATTACATATTGAACACGTTGCTTCTGTCAATATGGTTTTTATCGTTATTAATTTCCTAGTTGTATATATTACGGAAAATGCGACCGTGACAGACTACCAGAATCTATCTCCATACTTGCATGAATTTTCAACTAGCTTGCATGTCTTTTAGGTGTATACTGATTCTATGTTGTTGTAAAGGCATGTCTGTTCTTCTTTTGTTATGTAGTTGAAGCTTCTAGTGAAAATTCTCTTCTAGTGATGATGTCTTTTTTTAGAATAGTTGATTAACGCTTGACTTTTTATAGCTCAGAGAAGAAAGGTGAAGAAACTGCTGATACTGAAGCAGTTGAAGGGGACGTACAAGGGAACGTTCAAGTAAAGATGGTAGTGAGTAATGGAAAGGTAAGTTTAGACCTCTCTTATTGGAGTGTTATATGAAAACTCTTAAAGTAAACATTTAATTGTCATTATATTTTGTATCAGAGATTCTCAAAGTTGCAACTTCAAAGAATAGGTACAAATATCAAAAGCTAAAAATTGAACCCATTCTTGTTTTTTCTTCTCTATCATAAAACATCTTAGAAAAAAGTACTTGCAGATATTTATAGCAGCCTCTCTAGTACACCTGTATATCCAAAAGGGACTATAATTAAACTTTGTCCTGGAGTTAAATTCTTAATTATGCTTTAATTAGTTGGTGTTACTTATTTATTCCCTTTTTTAGCGCGCGAGCGATAGATCGTGGAAGCAAGTATGGGCGGTCCTTCACGGCACTAAGCTGTATCTCTATCGACACCATCCCAGTCAGGTATGTTTTATTTTTAAATACAACATAGTATATGCTATAACAAAATAAGAATTAAATAATTGAAAATGTGAAAATAAATTAAAAAAAAATTCGACTCGGGCAGGACTTGAACCGGCATCGTCAGCGTTCTGTGCTGTTGCTCTACCAATTGAGCTAGCGAGTCGATTTTTTTTTTTCAATTTATTTTCTTTATTATATTTATTTAAAAAAGTAATAAAGTTTTAAGAATTGAATATTTGAGAAATTCGATAACGACCGCACGCTAGTCTTGGTTTCATCAACATTTTGAAATCTAAAATAAGTTTTAATTCATATTATGTGCAGTAATATATACAGAAACAAAATATTACAACAAAAACTCGAGATTCTACGAAATATTAAATGAACAATATTATTGACAAGTCATTAAAAAGTATAACTCAACGAATTGTTGGAAACCTTGTCCACTGAAATCTGCTCAGCATTTTAAGCTATGAATAGAATTCATAAACAGACTAAGTAAATCCCTACCCTTTATCCTCATCAAGTCATGATCAAAATAAGGTCAACGTCAATATGCAATATTTAAAAAAAAATGTTATGTCTGTGTGTTTTACTATTTTATAAAGATTGTATACAATTTTATGTAGACGGAACGTGCACAAACTTCCTGAGCGTTGTGTATACATATATGTGTGCATTGTGATAAGTAAATATTTCCGCACACATTTTAATGGAATATTGTTACGTACATAGAGATTCTATTGAAAAAACAAAAGTACTTCGAATCAGCAGTTTTTACGTGTAAAAATATGTAAGTTACTTTTTTAAGGGCATATTTCTTATAGCAAACACATACTATATATTACTCAAAAAAAACTAAATAATGTCCTAATCACCTGGTTAAACGCGGCTAAGTTCACGTTTACCCCCCTTAAAACCCTGGGATTGGATCGCATACAAGTACACTTTAAATGGCATGCTTGAAATGGAAATATATACTTAATTAATTATTAATACACCACTAACGGCTTAAAACTCGTTATACATTTATTAGCTAAACTTATTAGGAAATAAATTTAACTACGGCCCGACGATTCGGATGCTTTGTAGCAGCTGTGGTCACGGGGAGTATCGTCCAGTTTAACGCGTTTTGAAACCGTTAAAATGTTTTGTTTAAATGTGTCCTACTCACGTTAATTGCAGACATAATATATTATCTTACATTCGCATCATATTGTCAGATTTTTTATCTTCTCTTATTATACGACGATTCGTTACTAAATCGTTGTTTATAGCGATCGTATCGAATATTTTGTTCACGATAAAAACTGAAGTGTCCAATGATCATAAACTCTCGCGTCACCACTTATTAGGAAAGAAAACGTCTTTATCCCACTGGCTGGCGAAACGTAAACTTTGCCATCGCGAACGTAATTGGCTATTTTGCCAAATTCGTACTCTTTATTATCCTAATTTGCATACAATATTTAGGGTTCTCATCGGACGTCCGAAGCGTGTTAAATTTAATTGCGCTTGTGTGCGAATTTATAATTGTTCCGGCTTGTTTACGTTGTTCAAGAGATGATTTATAACTTACAGTAGTATACATCGAGGATAATGCTCTTATTCTAATGCTAAGTTTTCCTGTGAAAAAAATTTAAATAAGTCACCTGTCACATGTTTCGCCTTTTAAACCGTTTAAAACGCGAAACGCAAACTACAAAGAATACTGAAATTTAAAACAGTAGTTTCATTAAATAATATAATTTTTGTAGTCCCCAATAGCGATGTATGAATTTAAAACCAGCAGAAAAAACTTTAAGTCTTACGAATATAACTTTATCTTTCCTATTTAAAAACAGTTCCATTCTTAATATTTTATGCAACTTAACATAACAATAACTTAAAAGTTTTCTACAACGTTTAAAAGTTTGTACTATTTTTTCTTTGTGCTATTAAAGATTTTGTTCACAATCACAAGTTTCAAATTTATATTCTACAAATAATTATGTAACTTCGTAACAATTGAGGTATTTTACCTATTTCTACTAACAGATTTAAAGGACTCAATGTCTCAAAAATGTCTTATCAAATTCAAAGTTATTCCAAGATACCTTATGTCGTGTTAGCAAAGCGTGAAGTAATTAATTTCGACTCAACTAATGAATACAAATGTCTTTCTCGACCTTATCGTACAACTGGACACTTCCTGTGTGCCATAAAGGAGAAGCCACCTGGTTTCCTACATGTTCAGCTCAACGGACTGTAACGTTAATATATTGTCACAAATTTTGGAACAACATAAATTTATTTAAAAAAAAATCCTTCACTCTTATTTATTTCAAAGAGGATTATCAACTTAATACATAATAAAAGCTTAATTTAAAAAAAACGTAATATTATTTTTGTGACGATTGTGTATTTAAATTAAAGGTAAGACAACGTTGCTACGAAACTAGATATAAAATACATAAGAAACAATACATTGTTTCTGTCAAAAAGGGTATAGAAGTCTTATAACTACTTGCCTAAAATAAAATCGACATGTGACACCACGATTCAAACCTTTAAAAGTGTTTTATTTACATAAGGCATTTGGGTCTTAGAGTCGTTTGGCCGTCGTAATCAAATGGTATTCTTAAAGGTTTCTCGTAACATCTTTCGCTTAGCCATACAACTATGAACTGCTATAACAGTACCTAAACCTAAAGATGGCTTTGAAAAATTATCTCAATAAAATATTGTTAAAATATATGCTTGTGAGTTTCCCTTAAAAATATATAATAATCCATTTACGTATTTCGTATATAGTGAAAAATAAATAAAAAAACGCCTAATTGTATGTTAAAAAACCCACACCTTTTTGACATTTGCACGTCCACCAAATATAACATCGCGTAAATAAACTTATTCGCATTGCCTAAAACAGTTGAGTTTTCATTAAAGATGGCTGTTAAGTTTAAATAAAAAAAATTAACGATTTAAAACGCGAAATATTAGTTGACTTATTTGTTATTTATTTTAACTACGGTTCCATAACTGCTGCTAAGTATTCGAATCTTCGGACGGTAGTCTTAATAAATTTACTAATGTACTTCACGTAAACTGCAGATTGTAACTAATTTGTACAGTAATATTAAAAGAGTGTTTTAGTCGCGTCTATTGTTTAACTGATTTGGTCTTTGAATTCATCTTGTTATATAACAATTCAATAATAATAAAGTTACACCTACCAATTGCCTTGCCCTAATTATTTAAATCATTCAGACATTCTAAACCCACTGATAGATTTACTGTTTGAATTTGTTTCTGGTTATTTCAACTTTATTTTTTATATGTATATTGAAGTAAATAAGTATAGTGAAATAAGAAAAAGAAATTCCGTGATTTTTTTAATAACAAAAGAGGACAATGAATAGGTCCATAGGGTTGATTTGAGGGAAAGTGAAATATTACTATATAACATAAACAAAATGTCAACCTATTTTTAACTTTGAGCATTCGGAAATTCAGGCTGAAACTGAAACGTGATTAAATTTGGCTAAAAAGCTTCACGGCGGTGGTTCGTGACTCGGATGGATTTTTTAAATGAACAAACCATTTATCCAGATTTTTAGACGAAGTCCGACATTCAAATATAAATAAATTAATTAGAAACACGTATTGACCCGGTAGACATCGAACCGACGATCCGTTTATTTAAATACGTCACTACCGTTAAACCAACTCAACCAACCAACTTACGCAACACGCGTAAAAAAAAACCTTGAAAGGTATTATTTAGATAAATATTATAAAGCTGAACGTTTAATGTTAGTCCGTCGTTTTCCTTAGATCGCATGGATCTTATCGCCTGTAGATTATCTGATTCAAATAAATTACTTTTCACTACGGTTTAGCAGCACGTGAAAACGGGACGCCAACGCTTCCTCCAGGTGCGAACGCGACCAATAAGCGACCTTACAAGTGCTTTGTGGCATTGTTATGATATACACGGTATTTCCTACATCCCGAAATAAACGACAATCACGTTGACGTGACGTCTGGAGACCAAAATAGAAACAATAGCCATATATTTGAAGTGCGGAGACCTGGACAAACGTCGGATTTATCAATCAAGTTAAATTCGTTGATATATGCATAGTATTTATTATATTTAAATGAGTGAGACCGACGTGAAATAGTGGTATGTGAAATTCTCTGCTCGTGATGAGGAGTTCGATTCCCGTTGATGCACCAAAATATCTATTTGTGTAAATTCGGACACGCGCTGTCTGGTGAATGTTATCGTGAGACCGATATTAATGAAAAATTTGTGTCACATTTTAAGAAGCGTGTGGGCATTTCAGGCATCTCAGCTGTGGGAATCGTTAAAGAACTGATAATGCTGTAAGAATATTATTTTGCGGTGCCACTCTAGGCTCTATATTGACGGGATTGTTGGTGTAATGATAGCAATACACGGCTATTAAACAACCGTTCGTGGGTTCGATCCCCACATTTTTTCTAATTAATTTATGATTTTTTAAACATGTTGAAACGTCTGGATATCTGGATATTAAATGGATGGTAGAAGTATCGGAATTCCGACCGGGACACGAACCACCGTTCACAGATAAAAAGCCTTGAAGTTTAATCGCGTTTCGGTTTTAGTCTGTGGGTTTCCGAATATCCAAAGCTAAAATAGGTCGACAGCACATCTTGTTTGGATGCTATAAGCTGAGGTATTTCATCTGCCATCAAGGGAATCCAATATTTGTCTGGCCTCCTCTTGGATGCATACATTTAACGATTGTAAAATAAAACGAAAATAAAACCCACATAGTTCCTCTGAAAGTCCTTAAAAGTCCCCATAAAAGGCGCTGTGCATCTTCGCACGTATCCGAAGAAAAACTCGAGACCCGCTGACGTAAATTGCTCGGGCGAGATCGAAGTTGCTTAATTACGAAGAGTCGCCTGATTGATTGCTTTATTTATTTTAACATGCGATTGGTCGTTTCAAGTCGCCGCTCGCATTT